CGGGGTGTCCCCTCCCTGGGGGCCAGCCCCACTGCAGCCGACCTAAAAACAGCAAGTGACACCGCTGACTCAGCAAGTGACACCACTGACTCAGCACTCACTGTGCTCTACCCGGGGCCGTGACACAGGGCCACACTGCTGTTTTCGTTTTTAATGTATTTAGTTCTACATGTAATCACTGTACATGTAACAGTTTACAGCCTGGCTTTTCAAAGCATGTCAAAGTGCCACCAGCGGCATCCTCGACAGCTTTCCATTCTCGTGTCTGTTAAATACTTCTCCTGAGCTCCTCCCCCCACCTCACCACCCACCCCTACAGTCTCTGGTATCTACACTTGCTGTCTCTGCTGATATTCCCCAGTCCTTCCGTTTCTGCCGTAGATTGCAGACGTTCGGTAAACCTGAGCAAGGACATACAATGTCGGTCTTTCATATCTGGCTTGCTTCACTTAGCATTAAATCTGTATTTATCCACTTCATATCAATTGTCAGGATCTAATTTTTTTATGGCTGAGGAGTAGTTTACAGTGTATACGTGCCACATTTTTTTCAATCCATTCCTCTGCTCTTGGCATCTGGGTTGACTCCATGTCACAGCAATTGTGAATAATGCTGCATAAACACAGATGTGCAAGCATCTGTGTGACTCCGTGTCCTCCTGTCCCTTGGGTAAATATCCAAGAGTGGGATTACTGGATCATACGGTAGTCCTGTTTGTAGACGTTTGAGGAGCCTCCCTATTGCTCTCCGTGTGGCCATATTAATTTGCATTCCCACCAACAGTATAAGAGGGTTCTCTTTTCACAACAGTCTTGACAGCATTTGTCATTCTTTTCTTTTTTTAAGAGGGATTTTTCCTATAGGGCACTTAAGCATGCCGGACAACCCAAAATCCCAAAAAGAAAATGGAGAAGAGGTCTGTGGCATGGCCGTCCCCCGAAGGGAGAACTTCCTCATTCTCTCCTCTCTCTCCCCGTCTCTCCCTGGCAAGCGTGCCTGTCTTACAGCAAGCAAGAAAAGCAGAGAGGGCCCTGCAGGTGCGACCCGTCATGAGTTTCAAGCCACTGGCTTGGAGACTCGAACCGCAGTTGCCCACATGGAGTCCAGCAACATCACCATTACGTCAACTGCTGGTCCCGGTCCTTTTTTTTTTTTATCATAACCATCCTGGCTGGCGTTAAGTGGCATTTCATTATGGTTCTGAATTGTATTTCTGTTATGGTAAGGGATGCTGAATGACTTTATATACTTTTTGACCATTCGTATGTCTTCCTTGGAGCGCGGTTTGTTCAGCTCATTTGCCCATTTCTTAACTGACTGTCTGTTTGCAGGTAAGCCGCTTATTTGTTCTCTAGTAATGGAGATGCCTGGCCCACCAGTGACAGAGCAGTGAAGGCGGCTGATTCTCACAAGGCTGACAGCATGACTTAAATCTCAAACCAGGAAACTTAAAAAACACACGAGGTATGAGTGTGTGTGTACGTGTGTGTGTACGTGTGTGTGTGCACCCAAAATCCCAAAAAGAAAATGGAGAAGAAATCTGTGACACGGCCGTCCCCCGAAGGGAGAACTTTCTCATTCTCTCCTCTCTCTCTTTCCCCGTCTCTCCCTGGCAAGCGTGCCTGTCTTACAGCAAGCAAGAAAAGCAGAGAGGGCCCTGCAGGTGCGTAACGGCTATGTCGCTGGACTCCCAGTCGACCAGACCTGGTGACTTAAACTCACGCCAGGCACGTGTGCGTGCGTGCCCAAGGTCCTGAGAGGGGAACGGAAGAGGAGGGATTGCGGCGTGGCCACCCCTCCGGGGGGTGATTTCTCGCTGTCTCTCTCTCTCTCTCTCTGTCTCTGTCTCTCCGGAGAGTGCACATGTCCTATAGCAAAAATCTCTCCAAAAGAAAAAAGAAATGGAGATGCCTTCTATGAATGTAGCTTAGAGCACGGTTTGTGCGTCAGTGCTCTGTGGAATGTTCCACTTTATGTATCCAATAGAGCTACAACAAATCAAAGCCATCTCTGTGAAAACGCCATCGATATTTCTTTCTAAAAATCTTACTTTTAGTGGTTTTTGCTCAGGGTGTGTGTGCTCACTGAAGTGAAAGACAGAGACAATAAGAGAGAAAGTGAGAGATGACCCCCGGGGGGCGACCATGGCTACAGTCCCTTCTTCTCCAGTGTCCTCCTGGGATCCTGGGCATGCATGCACACATGCCCAGCAATTCTGAAGCCACCAGGCGTGGCTCGAACCACAGTTGGCCACGTGGGAGTCCAGCAATGTAACAACTTCGCATCTGCTGGCTCCCTCCTAAATACCTTTTGTCTTGAATTTTTTATATTTCAAATATTTGAAAACACAAAAAACGTAAGAATCTCCCCCATAGAAATGTGTTTTACTCATTTTTATGAGCAAGAAAAAGGGAGGAGGAGGATGAGACAGCCGTGCCCTCGGCGTGGGGGGACTTTCTCCCTCTCCCCGTCTCCGCCTCTCCCTGGGGAGAACACTGCTCTCCATCCGACTCAGCGTGAACAGCTGCTCGAGTTACCTGCAGGGAAGTGGGGCCCACCTGGCCGCCGCGGCCGGTCAGCCTGAGACACACTGGGCACGAGCAGGGCCTAACGCCTGGTGGGTGGGGGGCCTAGGCAGGGGTGCCGGCCGGGCCTGCGGAGGGTGCGTGTCCCTCCCCCCCCACACCTCCACCTAGTGTGCCTGGCTGCCTGGTAGACCCGGCTTCCCTCCTGGGCTTCCCTCCGCCGTTCAGACACGTGAGCCCCACGGGAGTGGCCTCGGACAGACCGAACTCCGGCTCCTCCTCCTGCTTCTCCTCGAAAATAAGCCGCAGGTGGGACCAGCAGTTGGCATAATGGTTATGTCGCTGGATTCCCATGTAGTCGACCACGGTTCGAGTCCCGGAGCCGGTAGGTTAAACTCACACCAGGCACGTGTGCATGCATGCCCAGGATCCCGAGAGGAGAATGGCAGAGAAGGGATTGCTGCATAGCCATCCCCACTGGGGGGTGATTTCTTGCTGTCTCTCTGTCTATCTCTGTCTCTCTAGCCACCGCACGTGCCCTAGAGCAAAAACCTCCAAAAAACAACAAAAAAAGTTTGTTTAAAAAAAAAAGAGAGCCAGCAGGTGGCGTGGCGGTTAAGGTGCTGAACGTCCCCACACGACCAGCTGTGGTTCAAGTCCTGGACCTGGCGGCTTGCTTTCTCACTTTCCTTCTCTCTGTATGTCTGTCTTTCTCTGGTCAAACTAAACTAAATGAGTGAACAAATAAAGTTAAATAAATAATTCTTAAAAAAAGAAAAGAAAAGCAGCAGCAGGAGTGGGCATCCGTGGTCTCTTTGTAATCCGCTTATTTCAGTTGACTTGACTGCAAGCAACACTGACCTTTTTTTTAATTGCTGGAGAGCACATGTGCTCTCCAGACAGACAGAGACAGAGACAAAGGAAGCACATGTGCTCACCAGATAGAGCCAGAGAGCGAGGGGGAAAGTGAGAAAGCAAGCCACTAGGTCTGGGACTCACACTGCGGTTGGCCGTGCAGGGCTTGGCACCTTAAGCACCACACCTGCAGGCCCAGCCCCAGGATTTCTGAAAGTTTACTTCCTTAGTTTTGTTGTTTTGTTTTTTGCAATTTTTGCTCTAGGGTGCGTATGCTCACCAGGAAAACAGAAAGTGATAAATCACCCCTAGGGGGTGGCCACTCACGAGCCCTCCTCCATTTTCCTCTTGGGATTTTGGGCAGGCATGCACAGCGCCCAGTGAATTTCAAGCCATTGGGTCTGGGGCTACATGGGAGTCCAGCGACATAACCATTATGCCATCTGCTGGATCCTTCCTCAGTTCTTCCACGAGCAAGAGAAACAGGAAAGAGAGAGCACGCCAAGAGGCCTGACCCACACACAGCCAGCCACAGCCAGCCAGAGCACTCCAGAGCACTCCAGAGCACTCCGGGTCCCCAGGTGCAGACCAGACCCTCTCACCATCAGCCCCTATTGCAGGGCAGGGAGCAGCGTCCCTGGCCTCTACGAACATCTCCCAAAAACATGTAAAAGCATTCTCAATGTTTCCTTCAACTCCCCGCCCCCACACTCACCACGGAGGCCTGCAGGACCCTCAGGCCCTGGTGGGGAGGGTGGGAAGTGCTCTGGCAGCTAGAGTCCGGCTTCCCGCCCCAGTGGGACTTAGCTGAGCACATACAGGACTGTCGCCTTCCCACTCATCAGCGCAGAGGAAAACAGACCTGTGACCGGACGGCCTTCGGGGTTCCTTTATTATCGGAGTCTGAGTCCACAGGCATGGAGGGGGTGGCAGCCCTGTCCTCACAGCCGGGGCCAGGGGGTTTCACTGCAGGCCCAGCGAGCACACGGCCAAGCCTACAGCTCTCCCCAGCACCCTGGCGCTGCAGGAAGCACCGCCGCCCACCGAGCGGGTTCTGCTCCGACCGCACACTCCACGGTGAGAGCCGCCACACTCAGAGAGGTTGCTCAGAGACGGGCCCGAGGCCTCCACCTGGGCCAGTGTTGGCTCTCATGGACCACAGCGGGATGCAGCTCTGGTGGAGCAAACCTGATGCCCAGCTCCCCTGGGGGCAGCAGAGCACAATCAACCGGCAGCCTGGGTCAGGTGCCCACTTGCGGGGCAGCCGGTAAGGCCAGCAGAGGGCAAGCATAAGGAGCGAGGGACACGGGGCCGACATCACCCCTCGAGGAGGATATGAGTGAGGCAGGCAGTGGGCACTGCCCCTAGAGGATGCCAAGGGCATGGCAAGAACAATCCTTGCTCTGGAGGTTCCCATGAGTCAATACTGCCCCTAGAGGATGACACAGCCATGAGCCAACACTGCCCCCAGAGGATGCCAAGGGCATGGCAGGCAGTGGTCCTGGAGGCTCACATGGGCCACACTGCCCCTAGAGGACGACATGAGCATGGCACCAGCAGTCCTTGGTCTCATAGCTCCACCTTGAAGACTAGGCCACCTTGGGAGGCTTTCAAGCCTGCTCCAAAGGTCACTTGGTGAGAGACTGTCCCCTCACAGATGACCCATGGGGCTTCTCCAAACCCACCAGGCGGGCACTTTCAGCCCAAAGCCTCCGAGCTATCTCCTCATCCTCAGCCTCAGGGGCGGGTGCCCTCTCAGTAAGTCCATCGAAGTACTTTCCGGAAACGCCCTCCAGTTCCTCCGCCACGGCCAGGTACGTGCTGGGCTGGGCTGCCAGCTGGGGGCTCTTGACCAGCAACCAGAAGACGGGTCCTGCAATCAGGCCACGGTGTCAGAGGACAGGAGGGCACTGCCCCGTCGGGGAGCATAGCGCCCACTGAGGCTGTAAGCGGCCTGGGGTCCCAGAGCCCACCCCCAGCTTTCACTGCGGCCCCCTCCACCAGAAGTCCCCCTCCCTGCCCAGGCAAATCTCTCCACAAAGCTGCCGCCTCTAAGAGGCTCTCCTGGCTCCTCCCCGGACGGGGAAGCTCTCCTCCTGGTCAGCCTGAGCCCCACCCTGCTCGGTCTTTCCTTCAGTTAAGTTCGTTTCCTGAGCGCACTCAGCGGCCACCTCAGCCTAACATGCCTGCTACCGAGCACCCACTCCCAGATGCTTCTCGGGGCTGGAAATACCCCGTACAGAGCTGTTTCTTCAGCCTGAACTTTGAGCCGCATGCTGTGCTGGTCCTCTCAGGGAAGGCAGCTAGCCCTCCAACAACCGTGAGGAGCCCTGCTCACTTTGCAGATAAGCTCCGGGTGAAGACACGTCTCCAGGTGCCCCAGATCATGTGGGGTGAAGCTGGAGTTAAACCGAGCACAGCCTGGCTCCGCGAGGCAGCATCATGGCCTCTCCAAGACACGGTTCTCTCATGGGCAGAGAGGCTCTGGCCTGTGTCCCAGGTGGCCCTGAGGCTGCAAGCCACAGCAACACGGAAAGTGGACTCATTACCCTACAGGAGACATGGGCGGGACGGCAAGCAGCAGACCAGGGCCCATCTCCAAGGGGCGTCCTGGCCCAGGCCGAGAGGGACGGTAGAGCGGTCCGCAGAGACCCAGGCCGGGAGGGACTCACCAAGCGTGAGGCTGGAGAAGGTGGAGCTGTGCATGCCGGTGTGTCTGCCCAGCTCAGTCCTCGCCACGCCAGGGTGCAGGGCGTTGGCAGTCACGCCCGTGCCTAGAGAGGGAAGAGAAAGGGCTGGGATGGTGCACTGGCTCCTGGAGGCCTCCGCAGCACCCCGGAGCTCCCCGCCTCCCACACTGCGCTGTCCTACACCGAGTCACCTCCTTCGCCTGCCTCCTGAAGCAGCCTGCAGTGGGGCCCACTGAACTCACCCCTGCGCTTGCCCACCCCAGGCTCAGTGGGTCAGGTGGGATCAGAGACGCTGCAAACAAGCCACACTCCCGGGGAGCTGGCAGTGCGGCCCACAGACCTACAGGACGTGAGGGCTAAGGGTGGGTTCCCAACCCCCAACGGTGGACGCAGTGCGGGTGGGCAGGCCATCCTGCGCACACCAGGGCTGACCACTGCCCAGCCACACCCGCAAGGAGCAGGAGCAGCTGGCGCAGCCCAGGTACCAGACGCCGGCAGAAGTGCCCTGGGGGTCAAAACCGCCCCAGAGAGCCACGGGCCCAGAGCCCCAGCTGCTTCGCTTTCCGCCACCGGCAGGGACGGACACCTGGCTGGCGGGCTGGCGGGCAGGGGCAGCAGGATTGCCGACTGGAGCTTGGCACCAGCGGCACCGTGCAGTGCGCGCGCGCTCCCCATGCTGCTCTGGCACCGACGCCACCCCACGACGGGCCGGAGCCCCAGGCAAGCCGCGCAGGCACAAGAGGAGGGGGGGTGGCGCACCCTGCAGCCGCCGGCTCAGCTCCCTGGTGAAGAGCACGACAGCCAGCTTGCTTTGGCAGTAGGCTGCTTTGGTGTCGAACTTCCTCTTCTGCCAGTTCAGGTCGTCAAAGTCGATGTGCCCAGCCACATGGGCCAGGGACGAGAGGTTGATGATCCGCGAAGGGGCGGAGGCTTTCAGCTTGTCCAGCAGCAAGTTCGTCAGGAGAAAGTGGCCTGGACCGAGCACGACAGGATTCTTTCAGAGTGGCTTCTCCATTTTATTTCCAACTCCCCCATAACACGGGAGGCCGTTTCCCCACGTCCCCACCACGCACGTCGATATTCATGACAGCCTTCCTGGTGGAAGCACACCAGCACCTAACCACGGCCGTGCGGTTTGGTTCCGTTTAGGTTTCTGCCATCGAGCGCATGCACTCTGCAGAGACAGAGCGAGAGAGAGCGAGAAATCACCCCCGGAGGGACGGCCACACCGCAGTCTCTCCTCCTCTCAGGATTGTGGGCACACGCGTACACACGCCCAGCATGACTTTCACGAGATATGGGACTCAAGTCGTGGTCTGCCTTGTGGAAGTCCAGCACCTTAACCACCAAGCCCCCTGCTGGCCCGTTTTCTGCTTTTCGGTTGTTTTTCATTGTGAGGGCATGCACTCCGCAGACAGACAGGAAGCACGCTCAAGGGGAACAGTTACACCACGACCCTTTTCCTCCACCCCATCAGGGTCTGGGGCATGCACACGCAACACATTTTCAAGCCACCAACGCCAGGATTCGAACTGTGGCCAGCACTGTGGGTTCTGACTCCCAATGCCAGATGAGTCAGGCTGGCTGGAGCTGATGGTCTAAAGACCCCACTAGACAGGCTGTCTCTGGGGACCAGCAGATGGTGTAATGGCTATGTCGCTGGACTCCCATGTAGTCAACCACGGTTCAAGTCCCAGACCCGGTGGCTTAAACTCACGCTGGGCGTGTGTGCGTGCATGCCCAAGATCCCGAGAGGAGAATGGAGAAGGGATTGTGGCGTGGCCATCCTCCCTGGGGGGTGATTTCTCGCTTTCTGTCTCTCTGTCTCTCTCTGTCTGTCTGGCGAGCGCACGCGCCCTATAGCAAAAATCTCTCCAAAAAAAGAAAAAATAAAGAGAGGCTGTCTCTCTCTCTCAGAAGAAATAAGTACAGGAGCCTCCAAACGCCCTTGGAAGGTACGCACTATGGAAAACTGCAGGACTTAAACTTTCCGCACCGAAATTAATTAGGGCTTTAATTCTTTTTCCATGAATTTTTTGAGGTCTCCTTGTAAACTTGAAGAAGTAAGATAAAAACAGAACCCCACTGTCACACAGGGTGACCCGGATAGACTCGCAGACGGGATGAAAGACAGACTGACAAAGACTCAGGAGACGGGTGGAAACGCCAAGGGACAACGTCAAGGAGCGATGGCAGTCAGGACAGGGTGACCGAGCGTCCGAGCCCTGAGCAGGGCATCCAGCAGACGGCCGCTGGGCCTTGGAGGCGGGGCTGGCACTGGCCCTGACCGAGCCACCCACACCCCGGTGAAGCCGC